GGGGAGGAGTTTCCTTTGAATCCACCTTTTCCAGCAGCCACTTCCCCACTCTCTGTGGCTGGTGGTTGCTCCAAATGAGACTCTGGTGATCTGTGCTTGCAGCTGGTCCTGGACAATCCGAGGGCATCAAGCCCTGTCCCCTCTGTATTCCCAGGCTGGGGTTTTACTCCTCAGGCTCCATAAAGCAGGAGAAGTCTCTGGTAGGAGGAACAAAAGGAGCTGCTGTGGACAGACCAGGTCTTCTCACCTGTCCAAATGCTCTGTCCGTGTTTTGTAGAGCTCCAGGTGATCCCTGCTCAGACCAGCACTGGAATTCCCTGCACAGAAACCTCTGGGCTCCTGGAGATGCTCTGATCCAGAGCCAAGGGAAGACAGGACAGGACAGGGCTGGGATGGGACTTGCAGGCAGTGGCAGCTTTCATGCTCCTCTTCTTTGAAGGACCTCATCCAAGCCCTGCCACATCTCCCCCACCTCATTTCCATTCCCTCCCTCCTTCCCTCCCTCCTTTCCATCTCCCCCCTCCATTCCCCCCCACCTGGACTCAGACTGATGCCAAACTTGGTGACTCTCCCACAAAAGGCTCCAAGGCTCAGGCAAAGAACAAGGATAAGGACAAGGACAAGTCCAAGGCACCCAAAGATGACAAGAAAAAGAAGCAGCAGCCGGCCCCTGAGCCCCCAGAGAAGAAGAACAAGCAGAAAATCGATGAACTCAAGGTACCAGGGTGGTGCTTCCAAGGAAGTAGGGATGATGTGCCTTGGGATATCTCTTCTAGGGATATATCCTGGGACGAGGCTTCTCTCTCCATAGCTGGAAGGAATCTGAAGTCATGAGAAAAGGAATTGTCCTGGGATAGGATCATCCCTGGATGTATCCCAGCTCCAAGGGAGAGTTTTCCTCCCTGAATGTGGCTGGCCCAGCCAGGATTCAGGACAGGGGTGGGCTCTGGTTCAGTGATCCCAAGGATTTCTCAGGATTCATGTTGCCTGTGGTTCTGGGGTTCAGGTGGAGTTTAGACCTAGATCTTGCACAGAGGGGGAAAATGGCCACACCCATTGTTCCAAGATTCCCTTTTCCCAACCCAATAATGCTGGAGATCCTTCTCCTTCCTAGAAAAATTAGGCACTGGGAGCTGAGGTGTCCATGTTCACAGAATCCCAGGATCCCTGAGGTTGGAAAATCCCTCCCAGCCCATCCAGCCCAAGCTGTGCCTGATCCCCTCCTTGTCCCCAGCCCAGAGCTCTGAGTGCCACATCCAGGTGACACCTCCAGGGATGGGCACTGCAAAGCTCCCTGGGCAGCCCCTGCCAAGGCCTGAGCACCCTTTCCATGGAGAAATTATTCCCAATACCCGATCTGAACCTCCCTGGCACAACTTGGGGCCGTTTCCTCTTGTCCCGTCCCTCGCTCTTTGTGACCTGATTGAGTACTCACCACATCTTTTGCTCACCTGTGTTTTTATCCCCAATTCCCTCCTTTTAACTTCCTGCCATCTCAGGTCTACAACAAAGAGCTGGAAGCAGAGTTTGACAACTTTGAGGACTGGCTGCACACCTTCAACCTGCTGCGGGGCAAGATTGGGGACAACGACGACAACGCCACGGAGGAGGAGCGGATCGTGGGGAGGTTCAAAGTGAGTGGCTGGCAATGCAGTCTCAGAACCTGGAATCTGGAGGTTGTGAGTTCGATCCTCACACGGGGCACCACTGTGTGGTGGTTTAGCTTCTTTTTGCCAGGGATAAATTGGGCGAGCTGGTATTTTTCTTGTTCGGACTCAGATGTTTATTTGTTCTTATCCATACTGCAGTCTCACAAACTGTGAGTTCTACAGCACTTCAAGCTAACAAACTAAAAATGGAGCTCTGTGTCTTCCTCTACAAGGCCTTTTAAGGATAAACTGTCTAATTAAGAAATTACACCTGAATTTTTTTTACTTTTAACCCCATAACTAAACACCCTTGGCCCGCAATGTGGAATTTTCTGTCCAATCATACAATTCCACCTAGACCCATGAAGAAGGTGAAGAAGAAGGACAAAACCTCCACCCTAAAACCTCCACCTTGCTTTTATATATTACTATATTCTAAAACATTAAACTCTAAATGTTCCCCCATGTGTTATTACACACTTCTATTCAACTATTCACACCCATAATCCCAGTTCTATCATTTAATTTTGGAAGCCTTCTCCACAGCCTCAGGCCAAAAGCAGAGTTCTCCTGGGGGTCAGTGCCTGTCGGCACAGAAAGTCTCAAATTCTCAGTGACCAGGGTTCCAATAGATGGGAATGCTGGCTGGGACTTTGGGGAGGGTTTTTTGGGATGGCTTTGCTTTTCTGGAGGTCCTGGGCAGCAGGACTCAGTCAGGCCACGCCCTCCTGTTGGAACCCTGAAGCCTGGGAGTTTTGAACTTTCTGTGCTCTCTAGCAGTAACCCCCAAAAGAGCCCTGCTTTCAACCTGAGGCCTTGGAAAAGGCTTCCAAAGTTGAATAATAGAGTTAAAATCACTAGTGTGCAGTTTAAATAAAAGTGGGTAACATCACATAGTGAAGAGTTTGAAGCTTGGAGTTTAGAATATAGTAATAGATATAAAACAAAATAGAAGTTTTAGGACATTGGCTAATCTTCAATCTTATTCCTTCTTTTTCTTCATTTTAGATAATATATTTTAATTAAAAAGAAAATGCTGCACTGCAGGTCATGGGTGTTTAGTCCTTAAGTCAAAAGTAGAAGTATTAGCTTTTAATTGGGCTGTTTGACTTTAAAAAAACCTCGTAACAAGCAAAACACAGCTCCATTTTTTTCACTTTTTGGTTATTGGTGCTAAAAGTGCTGTAGCGCTCCCTGTATTATAAATAAAAATTAATAAACAACCAGGTCCGAACATGAAACTTCGTCTCTCACTCACGTTTTCAATCCCAGCTCTAAGTAAAAGCAAAACAAAGAGGTGAAGCTCTCATACCCTCCCTCTCACCAGGGCTCCATGTGCGTCTACAAAGTGCCGCTCCCCGACGACACGGCCAAGGAGGCTGGGTATGACCCCACCTTCGGGATGTTCCAGGGGATCCCCAGCAACGACCCCATCAATGTGCTGGTCCGAGTCTACATCGTGAGGGTGAGTACGATGGGAATTTTTGGGGGAATTTGGGGTGTGACAGGCGGGATCTGGCACTGCCACCCACCCGGAGCCGGTCCCGGTGCCGTCGGTGCCTTGAGGAGCTGGAGCAGAGGCTGCACACAGAGTTCAGGGGAATAAAATGGGTATTTATTGTGAGGCCCACGAATGGCCTGCAAAAGCCACACCCAGGCCACAGTCCTGGCCCCTGCCTGGATGGCTCCAAGATGGAAGGAAAGGAGGGGGTTGGTCACAAAATCTTACATTTTTATAGGTTCTGGTTAATTTGCATGAATCCACCCTCCACCTTTCCATGGAGTTTGTGCTTAGGGCCTGAAGTTTGGAGAAACTGTCCTGGAGTTTTTAACTGGAATAGGAACTGTTCTGTCTTCATCACCCCAGCACATCAGAAAAGCACATCCGAGGAGAACAGGAAAACTTAAAACTAAAGGCATCACCATAGCAATGGTGGAATTCTGATCCAGTGCATCCAGACCCGGGATGCAGCTTGGGGAGTGAAACAGCATCGAGTTATTCATGGGTCTGGGTCTTCAAAGAGACAAGAGCAGTTGTTGGTTGCTGTAAAGTTGTTTATTGCAGGAATGCATCAGTCTCAAAGGCAAAGAGTTCAGAATATTCAAGTCCACGCTAAAGCTTTCTGGCACAGAGTCCTGAGCAGAGGCAGCAGCTTCCTGGCATTCCTCCTTCTCCTTCTCCTTCTCCTTCTCCTTCTCCTTCTCCTTCTCCTTCTCCTTCTCCTTCTCCTTCTCCTTCCCCTTCTCCTTCTCCTTCTCCTTCTCCTTCTCCTTCTCCTTCTCCTTCTCCTTCTCCTTCTCCTTCTCCTTCTCCTTCTCCTT